CAACTAAAGCTCAAACTACATTATTTAATAATAGAGGCAAATTATACAACAAAATAGTGTTACCTTGGGGTCCAAGGACTCCATTTTTCTTCTGATTCAGTGTTCCGCTTTATCTGCACTAGTGGATTTCTGACTTCGACTTGAATGTTCATGTAGAAAATCAATAAAAAGAATATGATTTCCAAAAGAAAAATTGACTCAGTAAAGACGAAGGAGTGAAGTTTTTGGGAGTTTACAGATGCATATGTATCATGTGAATATTTGACTGGAAATGGGTGCATACAAAGCAAGCAGTAGGTCTGCAAAAATGTTGGTAAAATGGACAGTCAGGGTTGCAGATCCAGTGTRACATCTTAGAGATCATCTAACAGTTCATTATTCAAGTGGTAAGTGATTCTCGGTTGAGYGGTCACAATTCTCTATTCACTCTTCAACACACAACTCAGTGGCGTAAGATACAGGCAGGGGGATGGACACAGGGGAAATGTAAGGGGAGCACCCCCCCCCCTCCCCCATTGTTTTTTTCTTTTTTCACACCTCAGTATATAAACACTCTGAGTCCCCTGCAACCCTTAATATTTGTTCCCAGGCAGACAGCTTCATAGACGTAACCGCCGTATTGTATACCTACCAACATCATTTATCTTAAAGGTGTTAGACAAATTGTTGATGTAATCATCAGACCCCCAACAGTTCACGTTAATGAAATCAGTTGGACTGTCCCTCAATGTAAAGTGAAAGTGGGACCTTGTTGCGCCAGGATCTGAAAATAAAGTTCTACTTTATAAATACTAGTGGGTGATAATCATTGTTCAGGTACATGTAAGTTATAAAGTGAGTCTCTTGATTGGAGAAAAAAATAGCTAAAAATATAACTTAATAAAATTACTTTTCTTGTCTTCAAAAGTACGCTTATCTTGCTTTGATATCACCAAACCGACTAAAACCTAAGGGAAAGAAWACATTCAGTAAGGTTGTGAAAAATATACGTTTAATGAAACTTTTTAGTATGACTTCTCTACCGTGTTTTGCATCCCCTGGTTGAGCTCGCATATGTAGTTTTTGCCAGTGTCAATAATTCTATCGTCTGCAAGAGCCGTTCCATCTGGCCAATTCGCTTGCGTTCCAAACGATTCAAAGTTGTTCATCTTGAAGGTTGAAGAGTWAGACTTGTAGCTATAATCCTTTCACCTTTATGTCTACATATTTTTACGAGGACCGCGTAAACTGCAACTGGAAGATCGCTTTGAAAGTTGTATTGTAACATTTGAAATACTAGCGCACTTTTGATTGGATTATGATAAATCAAAGATTTTGATTGGATATTAAAAAAGGCGGGAAAAATTTGACCGCACGCGTCTATAACACTAACACAATTTTTTCTATGTAGGATGGGGATAGTCGGGATATTTCCCTTTCACCCTCTCCCCCTTAGTATTTAAACCTGAGGAAGTCTGGGTACTAGCATGGAAAAATGACGGCCACATTGACAAAGATGTGAAAAAATAGAAAATGCGGAACTGAAATGTATATTTCTTTATCTTTGGATTAGCTAAATGGCGACCAGGTTAGTACAACATAATTCTATYCAACCAAGAAAGTTATTTTGTTGAAACTTTGCTGAGAATATTTTATTTTTTTACCCAGACTTGATCGTCTCCTCCTGCTCTTGGACACAGGTTCGACTCCTGTTACTCGTAAGGCAGCGGCGGCACAGCTCGGTGAAGTGCAAAAATTACACCCCCATGAGCTTCCAAATCTTCTGACTAGGGTAGACTATATTCACTTGTGTTWTGTCGCAAACGCTCATAGTGTTTAACTTTGTTTAAAGGCAATTATTATAAGGTGAAACRTGCAAATCTCAATACGCTACCTGTACTTAAAAAAATAAGCTTAAAATCAATACTGTCAGATCAGTTTCTATAAAAGCCTTAGGCCAAAATTGGATTTCTTTGGCTTTTGTCAAATTTGATTTAAAAAATRTACCATCATTATGTTGCCTTAGACACTTTGATAACTCCCAGAGGTCGAGACACCATGCATTTAATAATAATTAGCTCAGATATCACTACATCCCAATAACAAAACATAACAAGACCACATTTATTAAACATGCAAGATTATATAAAAGACAACTACGTTTTTATTGCTTGTGGTATAGMTGGGTTATTTGTTATCTGATAATTTGATTTGCAGACACAGATAAAWCTGAACATTTTCTATATACAAATCTATAATACAAAGTGAGGGGTTGTATGTCATGTGGAATGAATTAAGCTTTTTATGTGCATCCACTGAAGTCTTCCCTGGTACTTTTATGTAAAGGGCCCATTACTTCTGAATACGTTTGAAAATTGTTTTGAAGGGTCCTCTTGATAAGAAGGGTCTTTCACGCAGACRGAGAAAKCAAAATGTTTTATATTTATGGAGTGCGATGTCTCTAGGCCAATAAACACTTAAGGACTGTGCAGGATTTTAAAATCAGTGCATTTAGTTTCAGTTAAAGCCAAARSCMARRAWKGRAAMYWWTWWTWWWARGRMYTTKRARKYCYKGGSMARRAWTWWWAWTTT